TGGGCCCTATCCAACAAAATAAGTTTCAGTGTGGAGAAAAGCAAAGTTTTAAATTTAGGCAGGAAAAATCAAAGGTACTGTATATAAATACCAATTGGGTGAGACCTGGCTTAAAAACAGTAACTGTGAGAGGGACCTTGGAGTCCTAGTGGACGATCACTTGACTATGAGCCAGCAGTGTGTAGCAGCAACCAAAAAAGCTAATACAATCCTGGGTTGTATAAACAGACGCATAGAATCAAGATCACGCAAAGTATTAGTACCGCTTTATAAAACCCTAGTAAGAGCACACCTAGAGTACTGCAGCCAATTTTGGTCACCATATCACAAAAAAGATGTTGAGAGTTTGGGAAAAAATTCAGAGAAGAGCAACTAAGATGATCAAAGGCCTGGAGACTAAAACATATGAAGAACGGCTGTGGGACATGGATTTGGTTAGTCTAAAGAAAAGAAGAAATAAGGCAGACATGATAGCAGTATTCCAGTATCTGAGGGGCTGCCAAAAGGAAGAGGGGGTCACGTTGGTCACCAGAGCACCAGAGGGAAGGACAAGAAACAATGGTTGGAAATTGATCAAAGAGAGAAGCAATCTGGAATTAAGGAGAAACTTCCTGACAGTGAGGACAATCAACCAGTGAAACAGCTTGCCTCCAGAAATCGTGGGCGCTCCATCACTGGAGATTTTTAAGAAGAAACTAGACAATCACCTGTCAAAGATGGTATAGGTTCTCCTACTTGGGCAGGGGGCTGGACTAGAAGACCTCCAAGGTCCCTTCCAGATTCTATTCTATTCTATTCTATTCTAAAATGGAAGGTACAGAATAATATGTTCTGGAACAGTAATCCAAGCCATTAAATGCCTTATAGGGTAATATTTTGTTTTTTATTTGTTTTTTATTTGTTTTTACATTCAAGTTAGTGTTGAGATAATGGCTGACTGCCTGAAATAACCCCTACAGTTTTCTTGGCAAGTTTTTCAGAAGTGCTTTTCCATTTCCTTCTTCTTATGGCTCAAAAAGAGATTGGCCCAAAGTCACCCAGACAGTTTCATGTGAAAGGTGGGATTAGAACTCATGTTCTCCCGATTTCTAGCCTGGTCCCTTTAACTACTATTTCAAACTACTCATTTATAATGTAATACCAGCACTTTAAATTGGGTCTGCAAACTGACAACTAGCAAAAACTTTATAAAGTTGGTGGAATAAAACCTTAATACCAAGTGACAGTTAATGCTTTAGTAAGAGTTTTGCTTTGTTATTAAATTTTCTGGACTGTCTATAAGACTAGTCCACAAATAACATACCATAAAACAAAAAATATAATAACACAATGTATTACAATAATATGTCTTTCAAAATATAACTGTTGTTGTCCAGAGGAGGAACAGATAACAAGGACCTATAGTAAATGCTAATTAAAGAAAATCTTGCAAGAGAGAATAGCAACCAATGTGTATCACATAACATTATTTCAATAGCAACTCTGAGATCATAAAAGGTAAGGCATTAGCAGATAGATCTTCAACCAGAGATCCTAATATTGTTCCAGTGATGTTTTTTAAATATAAATTTATTGGATTTATTGTCTTTTATCTTGGTCCAACATTGTGAAGGGGATAATAGCAAATTCAGAGGAGCATTAGAGCAGAGGTCCCCAACCCCCAATCCGTGGACCAGTACCGGGCTGCAGCATGCCAGCAATCAGGCCGCACAAACAAGCAAAGCCCCATCTAGAAGATGCAAGCAGCACAAAAAACGATGCACCCTCCAGTCCATGGAAAAACCTCTCTCCACGGAACCGGTCTCTGGTGCCCAAAAGGTTGAGGACCTCTGCATTAGAGGACAGGCTACACTGTTCCTAACACCTTACTATGCATAAGCATCAGGGCAAAAATGGTAAAATGAATCACCAATAGCATAATCTCCCATGACATGCAATGGTATACCAATGCTACATGCAGGACTGCTATTTCCACTCTACCACAATCCTTGGAAGATTTGAGAGTTATAATTGATACAATTATTCCCAGGTTTGTGACCATATTTAATTACAATCCTTAATTACTGATCAAGTTGGTGTGAGATAAAGTAAAAGATAAAATAAAATACTATAGTTGTTTGGATTTACAGTATGTTAACAATAAAGACTGTATAAGTATATGATTACATAGAATGAAGATTAATACAAATCATGAGACTGTACTTAAATGAACTATGGCTTATATTGACATAAGCAAAGAATACACTGTAAGATTAATACTGTGTCAGACCAAAAGTCCTTTTGTTCTAGCATCTTAATTCACACCCAACCAACCAGATGTCACAAGGACACCAAAGACAGTATCACTGTTGCTTCCTGTCAGTTGGTTTTTAGTATTATGGAGCCTCTGAACCTAAAGATTGTATATAAAGAGCTCCCAAATCCATATATTTATACAAAAATGCAACCTATTTGTTCTACATTAGGTGCAGCACATTTAAATATCTAATTAAACATCTGTTTCTTATTATTTTTTTAAATCACATATTTTCTACCCATAAAGGAATTGTTCTAGGTCCATCATGAATTTCTCTTTTCTATATATTTTGCAGTTCTTCAGTATTATGGTTGGTAAGCAATGATTGTATTCCAGTATGCTCATATCAAATATTTGTTATAAATGTATCAGATACTGACAACTTTGTTTTTAAACTTATCCTAATGATCACCAGCACCTAAAGTAGCTTGGCTAACACTTTAATTCAAGCTATCCACTATGACCACCAGATACTTTTCAATGATCATTACCAAGTCAATTCAGCAATCTTATAAAGTTAGAATTTTCCCTGCAATCTGCATCAATTACACTTACACTGAACTACTTCTAATGCTTATATTCATTTGCTTGAGATAAATTGTTTTTGATTTGTTTATTATTTATTTATTTATTAGATTTTTATCCTGCCTTTATTATTTTTATAAATAATTCAAGGCTATGAATATACTTCACTTTTATTTATCAGCCTCCCCCTGAAATAATTCGGTATTATCAGCAAACCTAACCAGCTTCTCTGTAAACCTCACTTAAATTCACATAAACCTTAGGAAGTAATAGATCTTGAAATTCCACCTTTCTTAACTATCACCAAATCTATTTTTTCCATATCAAATATAATGCTATGTATTGCATCTTTTACTTGTAAATCAGAAAGTCTTGAATATTGTACTTTTCTTTCCAGGAAAACCATTTCAATACCATAATGAATTTGGGCAAGATGTTATGCATTGTTTCATGTTTTGAAGTATCCATTTTAAGATTTTAAAAATTGTAATATTATAATACTTTATTTTGATCCATTTCCTAACAATCTTTATCACTTAATCTGCTTTTTCCCAAAACTACTGTATACTGGGCATTTTTCAGTGAGGTATTCCCTATGAATTCAAAATATCTCTCTTGTTTAGCTAGAGTCAATTCCAGTTCATGGAATTTGTTTGTTTATATATATATGGTTAATACATTTGGCTAAAAAGAATGCTGGTAGAGTCTAGTGGCTGGTTTGGTTTACATCATTCTAAATAATTTGTATCAGCTATAAAACCTGGCCAGTTCATTGATTATCTCTTATAAATGTATTAGAATCACTACATAAACTTGAGCAACTAATTTCTTGTGTCCTCAGGATTAGATCTGTTTAAGTAACCATATTCTCTACTTTCTATTTTTAGCCAGTTACTTGACCATAAAAGTGGATTTTATTTCACATTAATCCAATAAATGAATATTTATTGGATTAGAGTATAATAACAAGCAAAATTGGTAGAGGTAGTCCTTGACTTACAACCATTCATTTACCAATTGTTTGGAGTTACAGTGGCACTGAAAAACAGCTGACTTACAACTGGTCCTTGTGTCTATGACTATCACATTTCAATGGTCATGTGATCAACATTTGAGCACTTGACAGCCAGCATGTTTATGATGGTTGCAGCAACCCAGGATTATAGGATCATCATTTATCATCTTCCTAGCCAGCTTCTGAGAAGCAAATTCAATAGAGGAAGTTGAATCAATTAATGATCACATGATTCACTTAACAACTGCAGTGATTCACTTAACAACCATGAGAAAAAAAGTAAAAAAAAATTGGGTGTGACTCACTTAACTGTCTTTCTTAATAACAGAAATTCTGGTCTCAATTGTTGTTATAAGTCAAGGACTACCTGCATTAAAGGTATTCATTTAAAAGATATTCTTTTAAAAATATTTCTAATGACAAAAGTAAATGCATATAGTTAGATATAAGATAATCTACTATTTAATCATTGCTAAAGGATTTCATAGTCTTTTTCCATCTTCAGCAAGAATATCTCCTCTCCTTCCAGTACCATCAACCATAATTACTACAGAGATACTACTTTGAAATCATTTTAAGAATTATGTTATACAATTATATTCTTCTATTTTAATTATACTTTCTTTTTTACCTGTTCCTTTTGGTTTTTCATATCATTTTTACATAAAATAACAAGCAATTATACTATTAATATTTAACTATGAATAATAGATGAGCCCTAGCTCTAGATCTGCTAATTATCTAAAAATGAATATTAGCGATCTTATTTACATAGTTAAAAAAAATTTTAAAAGCTAGAGCAATGGTAAAGACAGCAATAGATACTGTAGAAGTATTGTATATATGCATATGTGTTGATATATTTCCACTGTACAGTAGAAAAAGAGCATCCCTAACTGAATTATGCAATCCCCAAATCATACAATCTTCAAACTTTCTTGTCCTACCTGATTGAGTAGAACGTTGTGGAACCTTATGAATAAACAAATAAAAGTATTTTTAAACATAAAATATCCAAAAATAAACACTGGCTTCAAAATTCATATTAAAAAAATATGGTACAACATACTTTAATGGAAGAGTCGGATAAGTTTTTGATAATTAAAGTGCATCAAGAGGATTAAATATTGGATGTGAACCATGTTAACTTATATGTTCACTTACCCATTATAGTTAAGGCTGTAGCTTTGGTTAGCTCTTCTTTCATTGAATCTATTACTTCAAAATTGTCACCATCCAAGTTGCATCGGTTTATAGTTCCATTGCCTGAACTGATCCAGTAGAGTTTATTCTCTGAATAATCTATGCACAAACCTGAAACACATTTTCAGATATAGGAATCATATTTACAGAAATGTCAATATATGAACTCTATTTTTTTACATTTTCATATTTGCTTATTCAACAGCAATCCATTGATGGATTCTAAATCATTTAAAAAATAGCCCAATTGTTAGATTTTTTTTAAAAAGAAAGCAAATAAAAATCTGAACAGTATCAAAATAAAATAACTTGTGTTATTTACTTGTTATTATTTTTCCTATATAACTATACAGGGACTTTGGGATAGATAAGCCCTCTTTATTATCTATTGCAAGCAATATTACTGATAATTTTTGCCCTTTGTTCTTGGGGTTTCACTTTTTAATACTTTCCTAATTTTCCTTTTTTTCCCAGTGTTGATTGTTTACCTTCTATCCAATCGTTACCTTTACTACAAGTTTCCTGGTTATTGCATAAAAATAAGTAACAACATTTTTGTCCCCCTGTTACCCAGTAAATATGTACTACAACTTTTAGGTTAAAACATTCCTGTCTTTTTCAAGCCTTGCAGGCTTCTTCAAAAATTGCCATGTACAAGCTCCCATTTGTTTCTGATCACCTGTCTTGAATGATTGCACAGTCCTATTAGCCACTGATAGCCCAAGTCTCCATGGATGTTCTATAGTAATTAGGGAAATTATGAAAATAAAAATCAGAATTATACATTTTATTTTATTTTTTAAATTAATAATTAGGGAAACTTGTACAGTTTTTGTTATATATTCTAAAGCTATAGACTTGCCTTAAAAAGGTTCAAAGTTAATGTAGAGTTATAATACAATAAAATTCTAAGATGACATTTGGTGTTATGGTAATTGAATTCTGTTTTGCAGAAAACTTACATAACAGTGTAATATTAATTGCTGGCGCTACAATTTAGTAGTTTATAGGAGTACTGCAGGATTAGAAATTTACTGAGCAGGGCATAATTCTACAGTATATAAAACCATAATTTGTCAGCATTCATCTAATACTGTGACAGAGAGCACCAAAACTTCACAATATTATCTACTCCTTTTTTAATCTTAATTTTACAATTTTATGCAAGCACAGATTTTGATACTGGGTGCATCCAGTAGAATTGCCTACTTTCTTGCATGTTTCTAGCCAGTAAAGAAACCGAACATATATTTTATATCCACAATTTAGAAATCATTTTAAATTTTTTTGAGACAGATTTTCTTCTACAGATTTTGTTCTATAGAATAACCCTTTCTATAAAACCATGATATATGCTTGTTGCCTCATGTTGTTATCATGAGACAGTGAGTTAGATTTAGAATATTTGTTCTGAGAATTCAAAGACACTTTATTTTCACAGAAGAAACTGAAATCCAGAAAAAGTATTAAGGCAAGATGAATGCAACTGATTCATCCTTCTTATCCTTTATGTCACAATCTGTTTGATTCTAACTATCTTCAATCAACTACATCAGTATTTCACAAGTTGTAGGGAAAGAGAAATATGAAAACAGTCTCTCTTCCTCAAGGGTGATTATCCCACGAGTATCATTTTGCTCATAGATATAGATATAAAATTATCTATCCATCCATCCATCCGTCCGTCCGTCCGTCCGTCCGTCCGTCCGTCCGTCCGTCCGTCCGTCCGTCCGTCCGTCTGTCTATCTATCTATCTATCTATCTATCTATCTATCTATCTATCTATCTATCTATCTATCTACCTACCTACCTACCTACCTACCTACTTATTTTTATTTTTTTAACAAAGGTTTGTTATCTTGGTATGATTTTCCTCACTGTATACTTTATTTTTATGTATATTTTATTAATTTTTTACAGTAACAATCTTAGTATTTAATAAGCAACATGTTGTCTGGGTTTATGTGTTTAGCATTAATAGTAATACAGTTTCCATTCCTACCCTTTATTCCATTTTTCTAACCATTTATAAAAAATTTCCCATGTTTGAAAGTATTGAGTCTTGCTTCCCCTTCATTTTCAATTTAAGCCTATCCATTTCTGCACAGCCCAACATTTTCTTAGTTATGTCTTCTTCAGATGGTATTTCTTCATTTTTCCAGTTTTGAGCAAATATAATTCTCGCTGCTGTTAATATATGTAGTATTAAGTATACACATTTCTTATCATAATTTTCTGATATTATAATTCCAATTTATAGTCTACATGTGTTCCTATCATCTTTCCTAGCCACCTATGTATTTTTAACCAATAGTTCTTTGCTTTAGGGCATGTCCACCAAAGATGATAATACATGCCTGAATTTTGTCTGCATTTCCATCAATTGCTAGACACATTTTTAAACATTTTTGCTAATCTTGCAGGTGGTAAGTGCCATCTATAGAATATTTTATATACATTCTCTTTGTAAGTAGCTGCCCTCATTATTTTGTAATTTCTTTCCCATAGGTTTTGCCATTTGTACACTTTAATAAACTGTATACTTTAATAAACCAATGTGCACAAATGAAAATATATCTAAGCAACAAAAAATATTGGGGAAGGGGACATTTTCATTAGGAGATTGAATTCTAAATCCATTGCTTACTAATTAATTCAATCACATATTTTGTTTGAGGTTCTTAATACCTCTGGTAACAAAGAATACATCTAAATGAGCAATGTTTAACAATATATAAGCTTAAAATGCTGTTCCTTTCTCTTTTTTTATTTTAGAGAAGCAAAATTTGTTGAGCCAAATTGCTTGAAGATTACCATTCTTCACTGAGTAGCAGTACATACTAATAAATGCCAAGCAGTTACTCTGACAAGATTGTAATACAATTATATTTTAAGTAAATGGATTTTAAAAGGCAATAGGCAAAAGGCAAACATAGATTAGTCAGTTGCTGAATATTTTCTTTATTAATACAAAAAGCAATACAGTGAATAGTGGTAAAACTATTTAGGGAAGACTTCATATTACTGAAATGAATTTTATTTTGCAGTACTTTTTTGAATATGCAAATTATGTAAAAATGTCACCTTTCTTTCCTCCATTATTATCAGCCAAGTCAAGTTATTTTAACAAATGTTCTCACAATTTAAGGCAAAGCTTTATGGCTGATTGAATGAATTATGCTAAGGTTTAATGTGACTTATTCCATATGTGAACCCAATCACTGTGACTTAGAAACCATAATTATTCATTACTGAAATCTGTGGACCCAGTCAACTATCATTTAGTCAACAAATCATGACTTAACATTTATTAAGGGCACATTATGAAACCATGTGCATAATGGAAATAGTTTGCGTATAGCAGAAGTGAGCAATTCTCAAACCATCTTCTCCAGCTGCAGTTCTTCAACACCTTGAAACTACAACTAATATCTGTAACCAGTGTACACAGTTTTGATGGGATATTTTTTTCTTTTCCTTTATCCTAGCCAACAAATGGAGATGAGAATTGGAACCCACACCTGCTTTTCCTATTCCCAACTTTAAATGCTTTAAAAAATGGCCCCAGATTTTTATTTGTGAGGCTGATTTTCACTGTATGTTTGCATTTGAATGGAGGAAGAGTTAGTAAAAATAAAAACACCACTTCCAAACTTACTTCAATCCCCATAACTGAAATCTGTCATAAAAATAGCAAAATCTTACATTTAACTTTTCCAAATATGAAAAAGTATTCCCAAATACATTTCTACTCTTATTAAAGATATTGCTACAGAACAAGATGATCTTCCTCAATCCTTTGGAATTTTAAGATGAACTGTGGTCTATGACTCTTAAAACATTATTCATGCCTGGCCTATAGACTTGTCACAAACCTACCTTTAATTTGGAATAACACTTTTGAGATCAATTCTAGAAGTGTTTCTGCCTCAGCACATACTGCTGTATTTTACAGAACTGGTCTACAAATTAGAATTCTTGCTATTCATAATTCAAAATTTCCCTAATTTTACATAGCCAAATTATTTTGCAAAGGAACAACTAAAATGAACTTAGAAATGAAGATAAGATAAATTGCTAAAAACATTTAATAGAAAAAAGACAAAAGTAAAAATCATTAATAGCCAGAAATTGTGAACAGAAATAAGGGAAATAAGAAATGCAAGGGAGAAATGTAAAGAAGAAGAAGACTGAAATAATAAATCTCAATTATGTAATAATATATGTCCTAAACATATTTGTTATTTCTTAGAATCTGTTGAAAATACAGCAGGGGTACTCAGTGTTAGAGTATGAAATGCTATAGGGTTTTGCCAATTTTCCCCTCAGGTCCACCAAGGAAGAACACTTAATTGTATGGGATATACATGTAATACAAAGGAAGAGTTCTTTTGTCTGATTATAGTTTGTTTTTTATATATGAACCAATCCTATATTTTTGGCAATATTTTACAAGTTGAAACTATGGTTTGAAGAAGTTATTACTCCTGACCTTTTTTAACATGGTTTTTCAGTGTTATCAGCTAACGCTCTTTAATATTTTGAGTTTGTTTTTGTGTTTGACCCAAGGTTTATACTAATCTACAAAAATGCCATGCAAAACCATCTTAAAATACTTGCTCCTTGAAGTAAACTAATAGCCTTCTTGCCATGGTTAATTCTTCCATATACAAAATTCACAAATTTTGAAGACTCCAAATGCAAATTGTAAGGTAAGCCAAAACTACCACCAAAATACTTATGTTAATAAAGAGAAAAAATATAGGAAAATATACACGTGCATGAAAGTCCATAACTATTTCCCTAAATCCACCTCACAATCATTTGTCACATAAATAGAACCTCTTACAAACATATCACAAAATAGCCTCATAACTTCAAACATACATAAACATACACACACACACACACACACACACACACACGTTCTATTAAAAAGATAAAGAGAAGATAAAACATAGGTCACAATAAAACCCACATAAATAGCACAAGTTAAAAAAAAATCCAAGTCAATAAAGACAAAACACACAGGATACTATATTGTCTCATTTTTGAAAGAAAAACAAACCAGGCTTAATGTATGATAATTATATGATTTGTTTGCTTTGGTAGTATTCTGACAAAGATAGTATGCCAAAGAATATATTATTTTATATGTGTTTTGGTGTACCATTTTCAATACAACAAACTTTCTTTAGATAACTATTTTATTATCTTCTTTTTAAAGTTATTTCTGATCTATAATAATAATAAACTAAGCCAAACCAAACCATCCATACCTTGACACTTCCTTTATAAATATCTGCTTAATTTATACATTTCTAAAGAAACACAAATTTGAATTGATTGGTTCACAAGTTTCATTAAGTTATGGCTTTAAAACCCTGGTTTATTAAATCTGACCCACAATCCATTGGTAAAGAGTGGGCTATAAATTATATGGTTAAATGTATACAACATACTAAGACAAATAAATCAGATTGCGACTTAGTGAATTGAGTCATGAAAATTTCAGCACTCTAGTACTCTGTGAAAATGAAAGCCAAAGTATTTGCTATTGTCTATGCCTCTTTACTTTGTGCACATTATGTCAGATACCTATACAGATACAATATCTTGAGTTATAGCAAAACAATTTGACATGAGAGAGGTTATAGCAATATTTACCAACTGGTTCTTTTTGATTCTGTAGTAGTATTTTACTGTTGCTGCCATCCATATTTGCCATGTTAATTGTGTTCCCATCAATCCAATAAAGCTTCCTTAATGAAAATAGATATAAAATACTGTTGTATTAAACATATTAACAAAGTAATCATATCTTATGAAAAGAAAGACATTCCATTCTGGAACGACAGCCACATTTTATAACTTGTGGCAGGAGACATCCATTTCTTTTTTCCATTTATTATTATGGAAAGAAATGTATGATTCTAGCACCAGACTGGAAGTTTTGTGGATGGGTGATATATGGGGGAAATATAGGGCTTTAGAGCTGATGAATTTTTATCTCCTATTTCCCCAAATTATTAGGTGAACATAATGTAATATAGCTTTACATGGGTTCTCTTCTACCATCCTGAAACCATTTCTCAATCAGAAATTGTATGGAATTATTACTGAATATCATTTCTAAATCTAGTAAAAGGACAATCATGAATTGGCATGCATTGGGAATAATCACCATATCTGCACTACATAAACTAAATAATAAGATGCATTAATGTACAAAACAATGTATTAAAATTTACAGATGTGAAGTTTTAGCTTTAAAATATATTTAACAACTTTGAGTTTTCTAACTGGAAATTGGAACAGAAGATTTTTAATTAATTTTTTAAGAATGACAATATATGTTATTTAGTTTTTAATATTATGCTGTATCAAAAATAAACTGCAGTGATAGGAATGCAATTTCTTAGAGTCCAAAGATACTTACTATTGGTCATATTATAATATCATATTTTAATCGGTGTTTTCTTTAGAGGGTTACAAATAGTATCACTGCCTCTTCCAGATTGTGATTAATATTAGAATATCAAAAATATTTTAAATCATGCAATAAAATGTAGTTCTAATACTGATCATGAAAGAAAATTACAACTTGTCCCACACATACAGAAGCAAAATTCCCTAAAAATAAAATAGCTATCCATACAAACATTGGATACACAGAGGTCTAATTTATTATATCTTTTTTCTTCTGACACACATATGTACCTTTTTTTCTAGAAAATGGAGTCTCCATACTAGTACTCCATGGAGATTTCATCTTATAGGAAGATAGAATTCACTAAATTCTCTTTTTATGTATTTATATTTCTTCTATTTATATAGTTGCCCAATTGCCACATGATTCTGGGTGGCTAACACAAGATTATATAACAAAGTGCAAATAGTATTCAACTTGACAAGCAAACATAAATTTATATCTTAAAGAATGCACATTGTTTACTATCCCAAAGCTGTACTGATAGGAATAATACTTTACCCTTTAGCTGGATAAACAGCAAGAGATTGTGGTTTATCAATTCCATGTATAATTGAAGTTTTTAAAGAGCCATCTAAATGAGCCACATTAATTTGTGTTTCATCAAATTCTGAGCTAATCCAGTATAAATTACGAGATAACCAATCCAGAGCCAGTCCACGAATGCTTTGAATATCTGCAAAATATATATAAAAAATCTATTTGCCCAAACTGTCCTACTAATTAGTCTTTACTGCTGAAAATATTTTTATGCTGTCTGAACCCCAAGTAATTTGATGCCTGCAATACAAATTTTATTTAATTCAAATTCATATTGTAGCTTTTATGCTACAATACATAGGACTGAACAAAAGTATACATAATAAGCATGAAGAGCAAAATGAAGATTGTGAATATTGGGTTGTCCAAAGCATCCAAAGAGCACTGAGGTTTAGCATGGCCACTTTAAGACCTTTCCTAGATTCCATCTTTATGAATATGCATGCACTGACCACATAGTTTCACGTATCCTGGTGAAGAAATGCACAACATGCAGATACAACCTTGAAAAGCCCTTGAAACAGACATATATTTCATAGATAATGCACTCTCCCCCCAGCCCTAACAACTGTACTGAGTAACATATCTGCAATCTATGGAACATGCATTTTCATGGAAATATATGACTAGATTTCATACTGCATGGAACAAATGCAAGCTGTAATTTTAATGGATTTAAGTTACACAACTGTTTATTCAGTGCTTTATTCACGTTCATTCAAAATGTGGATGGGAAGAGGAGGAAACATTAAACTAAAATTGTCATTTTAAGGTTAAATAAGAAAAAAATAATTTAAGAACTGAATGAGAAAAGTTCACTTCAAACGAAGAGGTTATAATCCTGGTGTAGAGAAAATTGAAAGACAACAGTTTTAGAGTGCTTCTAAAACAGGACGTCCCAGAGGACATTCAACAAAGCTTGTCGGAAGAAAGGATGATGAAAGGAGGCAATACTTCAATTGCACTCAGCAGAACTAAGAAGATGGAGATAGCTGTCACCTTAAATAGCATTAATAGTTTTTTTGTTTTTTTTAAAAAATCAATGATTACTAATTTTGATGACTGTATTCTACATGCAGACTACATCATTTTGTACATCAGTTTCTGGAGAACAAAGATTTTAAAAAGTGTTATATTCAATACTGGTACTTTTGTGGTCTTCCTGCAAGATTCTGTGGTACAGATTATATATGCTAAACCAGATTAGGTTTTTACGGCTTAAAGTCTCAGTAGATGAAGGGGCATTGGGGTGTATTTAATATGCAGTTTCTCTTCTCTGTGCAGGTATCAGATTTCCCTGATAGACCAAACAGGAAACACGATCAGATGTGCTAATTCTACTTTATGTAAATCTAAAAGTACAAATCTCTCACCATCTCTTTTTACGGACTAATAAATTATATAGTATCCTTTCTGAGTTTTTTTTTTCTTCCTGTTATGCAGCTGGGGTCCCTCCATGTGATCATTCCTTAGGCAGCACCCCCCCCTCAAGATCATTGTCACATGTTATAACATCAGATGGACATATTTGGATACAATCATATATAATTACTATTTTCTTTGGGATACTTTATGATGGCATTCTAATACAAGATGATCAAATATGAAACAAATTGCTTAAAAATTAAAGACTTTTGAAAGGCCCCTTAGATTTAGAAAATGAGCTTATCAAATTTAACTGAAATATGATTTTGAAAAACTGTATGTAACAAACAGCTTTATTTCTTGGCTATCCCATATCTTGGGATTTCTGAGAGAAAAACAAATATCAAACCAAAATGCAATCTATTTGTAGGTACAAGGGGGGAAAAGTGGCAAAAATGCAGTTTTCAAGCCAAAGAATTTTAATCCAGGATGTATTGTTGCTTATTGCTAAGGAAGCTTAAATATACAATAATCCAAGATGTATTGTTAATTATTGCTGAGGAAGCTTAAATATGTAATGCATAACTAAGAGAATCTTTTTGTGCAATTAACAATAGCCAGCTTAGCTCAACACATGGCCAGTTAATATGTTAATTAGGGAGGAAAGCTAATTTATGTTTTATTTCTTAAATATACATAATAGTGCTTTCTAAAGTACATAATTTACCTCGTGATATGACAGTTTCTAAGCCAGTCCCATTAATAAAGGCCCGTTTTATAGTTTGTGTTTTCACATCAGTCCAGTATAAACGTTCTTCCACTGTATCAAAATCTACAACTGTTACATCATCAATATCAGGAACTGTAAATGCTGTTATATAATTGAAGTATGGATTCTCTATGTCAACACCTCTTATTTCTGAATGCCTTGCATAAAGAAGGAACTTTTTCATTTCTATAAAAAAAAGAAAGATGTGATTTTCTTAGATACAGAGCAATGAAATGCAATTTTATGTATAACAATATATATAATATTTAAGTTTGCATACAGGTAGTCCTCGACTTATGGCGATTAGTAATTATTTGTGGCATTTTCAATGGCATTGAAAAAAGTTATCTTTTTCATATTACAACTGTTGCAGCGTCCCCATGGTCACATGATCAAAATTCAGACACTTGGCAATTGGTTTATATTTATAATGGTTGCAGTATCCTGGAGTCATGTGATCACCTTTTACGACCTTCTAACAACCAAAGTCAATGGGAAAACCAGATTCACTTAACAACCATGTGACTAACATAACAACTGCAGTGATTCACTTAACAACTATGGCAAGAAAAGTCATAAAATCTTGCTTAACAACAGAAATTTTGGACTCAATTGTGATCATAAGTCGAAGACTATCTGTATTAAAAAATACAATATGCAAGTGTATAACTTATTTGGTACTATTATGTGTGAACAAAACTTGTTGCAGAATAGAGCAAAATAATAGGATATTATCCTACTATAAATAAAATTCAGCTATTTTGCTGGTATTAAATAAATAAATTAAAAATATACTGATTGAAACAAAATGTGATTCAGAGGTGTGAAAGCTGAACTTGATTGATTCAACTGAGTTTTTTTAATCTCTCCAATGAATTCTGCATTCCCCTCCCCCAAAAAAGTTTTTTTTAGCAAAATTAACAAATCAAAAGAGAGTTATTCAACAATGTAGTGAAATGCTGAGATTTCTAGTAGATCCCAAGTATCATTTCCCAAACTGCCCTCTGGCTCTTCACTTGTAGTTTTTGTTGCTATTATCTATCTTTGTGGGAGCTCTTTACCTGGCCCTCACCCCATGATCTTCTTGTGTATATATGATGGAGAGAATTTTCTTCCTTCTTCAAAAAAGAGCCCAATCTCCTCACCTTTATATTGAAAGGGTGTAAAAAAATAACTAGAACATTTCTGCCCTAATATACATACATGCATACATACATACATACATACATTTCTCATATCAAAGTAGCATATGAAATGTTCCTATTGCTTCTGTTAGCTGCTCCTTGTACTGGATGCAATGGAATCTTCCAAATATAGTTCCCCAGCCCTACAAAATCCATAGCCTTGTTCTAAAAGGATGGAGAAAAGCTGCCTTGAGGAGTCACTTTGATGTGGAGCATTTTGGAAAAAGAAGGTTTTGGTGGCTTGTTTTTTTTTTTTTTTTACATTTGGCCTTTATTGTTTACACCAATGACAAATAAAAATGAGGGCCACTGAACTGGATTCCTGTAAGCTGCCTATTGACTTAGAAAATCAAATGTGTTTATACATTTCTTAATCAACAAATTAAAATCAGATAGGAACCAGATATAATTAATAAGTAATGAGTCATATTATATTTTCTTCTGAGCTATTACCAAATTATCATGAAAACTACCTCCTTACCTCCTTACTCTCACTTATCACTTCTCTACAATATTCCCTTTAATTTTTGGTCTCATGTATGGAAAAAATGTTTTGTATAATTTTTCTCAAACGAAGTATAAATTTGTGCACCAAATACAAGAATATAAGAAAATTGAAAATGGATGTAATAGTGACATGTTAAAATATTTACATATTTAACTAAAGTATAGAAACTTAAAAATAGAATTATATGTCATATATATGCTTGAAAGTTGTGCCTTCAGGTTATTTTGGACTCTTGGCAAAAGTTCCTGAACTTTTCTTGGCAGCATTTTTCAGAAATGACTGAATAAGGGATAAGAGAGGTGACTGCTGCAAGGTCACTCAGCTGATTTAGTTTGCGGGTTTCATGATTTGTACAATAGTTAGTTATGTACAATTTAATGTACTCTGGATTGTGTGGACTATTGCTTTACTTTATCAGTCCTTATAGTAATTAAATATATGGGTTTTTTTAAAGAAGAAAAAAGAAACAGAAGCTAAAATATAAGAGAGAAACTATATGGAACATGGAAAAATGTAACTATAATTTTCTGGTGAAAAGAATCAACAACAACTGTGAAGGTAAGGATAGTGTTCTGCTACAAAAACAAATACAAGAGGATGTGTATAATGAACTCCTATCTCCAAGATGAGTGGAAACGTTTTGTGGAAAGTTGTCTATTCTGAACTTGGAAATTTTATATAAAAGGATCAATACTGCTTTTATCAAATTGTCTATATCTCAAAGAAAATAATATATTTGTTAATATATCATGTTGTCCTGGTATATCTTGATAATGCAGCATTATAGCAGTTTTATTTTATTTTTCTCCCCAAACACCAAATACACAAGAGTTTTCACATTTCTGCCTTTATTATAGTTTTAAAGAATTGTTTTAAGACTCCTAGAATGATACTGAGTTCAAAAGAAGAAAGGTAGAGATTAAATTAATAAGAAGCTTTTCATTATATACTTTACTTGCATCATCATTTGATATTTTCCCATTTAGAAATTTCCCTGTTTTGGGAAGATAACTTCTATGAACCGCACTATTTATATTCATAGTAAAAAGGGGGGGAAACCCAAGATAATAAATCTTCACAAGCTAAATACATTCAAGCAATCCATTCATTAACACGAACCAAGATTTTACCATCAGGATTATCAGTAAATAGCACTACAGAGGCTCTGTTCTTGTTTTTAAGCAATTGTTAGGAAAATAAACTGTATGGAACTTACCATAACATGCCTTTTTGTCTTCAGCCAGTTTCATTAGATGAGGACATGCACAAGCAGCACTCCTGTTATGATTTATCAGGCACATATGAGAGCAAGGACCTCTGCCACTGTTAGCAGCACAAGGATTAGGAGCTAGAATTAAAAATGTAATGCTGAGCTTTGTTTATAATATGCATCTGCTTATATTCATATATTGTGTAGTTTCCTATTCTGCAGGATTTCATATTAATTAACTGATCATAAGAATGTAATCGGAGAGGGAGAAAAAGGGAACAAAGATATATAAGCTGCAGAGAAGTGACATTTATTAGCATTATTATCCAATGATCATCCCAAAGGAAGAGAAGCCGAGTTGGATCTTGCCCATGTAAACATATAATTCATTCTCTTCAACATAAAGTGATAGATATTTCTGCTTCTTTTGCAGGCTGTAAAATAATTTCTAGAGGAGGAATGCAGAGAACAATATTTGCTTTACCATAAAAAAGGCTCAGAAGTAAGTATATTTTCAATTTTACTTTTGTTTGTTCATGGCAGCCTGAAGGCTTTCTTCATTTTCTTCTTCAGATGACTTAAGTACTCTTTGTTCTTGATACATTTCTGGGTTCTTTGGGCTATTAGTACATTCTCAGAAGGGAAGAAATTCCACTGGAAGGGTTTGAATGGAATCTTTTCCATTGTGTTCAATCCATACAGATGATCATCCAGCCCTGAAGTCTGGTATTACTAGATCTGGTCAGCTGGATTTTTTGAACTGAATTCCATTGGCAAAGAAATCATACTTTTTTTTCTCTATCCAGGATTGTGCTTAAATGTGTGCTCAGCAATGGGTTGATGGATTTGGTAATGGCAAAGATGTTCCCAGTGGCTATTGATACCACTACATGTTTTCTGTTTCTTGACGTATTCAACAAAGTTCTTATAACTGGACTTCTGATGAGGATTCATATCAAACAAGATGTTTCTGAAGGAGACAGGATAGCAATGCAGTCGAGATTGGCAGTCAGGAGAATTCTGGCTGATGAAGTCTCTCCAGAAAAGAAGAAATCAGGAGATTGCCCATTTGTATTCTGAACAGCTGTCTACTCATGAGTAGACTGAGGAACTGAGGTTTTTATGGTCAGCTATGAATTAGGGAATTGAGGGATTTTGTTCAAGCTCACAACCATAATGTAAGCTATATGAACAAACTTCTTTTTTCTTCTTTTTCTCATTTCTTAATCATTTTCAAGAATTGCCTTTTGACTGTTATTCAGCTATTAGGAATATTTGAACTGACATATTTTATAGTATCAGGTGAGTTTCCTTAATTTTTTAGCAAAAGAAGCTTTAAATGCAAGTTTAAGGACTTTTTACATAACTTTTTAAATGTCTAGCAATGAAAGCCCACTGCAATTACTAAGATTAAAATAAATGTAATATGATAGAGAGACTTACATTTAAGTTGTTCTGTACTTTACTGCTGATTTATAGCATAATGGAGGATACTTAAGTGCACGTATCTGTAATGTGTTATATGTTTATATTGGGTTATTTGTAGGATTTCTAGTCTAATGATTGCAAACAAATTTTCATAAAAAGATGAAAACAAATGCAGTTATAATAGAAATATATCATAAATTTGGTTCCTTGTGAAAAGATTTCTCTAAAAATAAATATTGATTTTTCTTATTGTTTTCAAAGTATTACAAAGCTTAGATGGAATTAACTAACTATTTATTATATTGATATAAATCTAAGCTATTTGACATCAAGACTAATTGAATTTTAGTCCAGTAGATACACTGTATTTGACCAGAGACATATACTGGTCATTACTAACAAGTGCAGTCTTAGATTCCTGAAAATAAAATATTGAGGTCAATAGTTGTTTTTTTTTGCAGTTCAGAGCTTTAATTTTTTAACCCATATTGCCATTCTATTTTTTCTTTTTTTATAGTTGAAAAAACACAAAACATAGAAGTTTCACAAAGAGGATTTCTGAAGCATACTGTTATTATTCAACATAATGTCTACTTTCACAGTATTGAATGCATAATATCACTGTATAGAGCAGATAAAGATGAATAATCTTAAGTTATAATGAAGAAAAGTGTGATTTCTACTAATGTCCCATAAAGCCATAAATACTCTGTTGCAGATAATACTACAGTATTTCAGTGAAAATGTTAAGGTATAATTAACAACTATGCAACTATGCTACTTAAAGCAGCAGCGGGGTGAAAAAAAGAGAAATGTATTTGTAATTTCCCCTATTAGAACCCTAGAAAATCAAATATTTTTTAACAACCCTAGATCAATCTCCCCATGAAACAGTGCTGGTGAGGGAGCAGCTGTTAATAGTCAATATGACTATAATACTTATTAAAAATAATAACCTCACAGAATGGTTCCAAAATTGGTACAGTGTGTGATACATAAACACAATATTTATTATTATCTTGACCCAAAATTAAAGTATCCCCTTAACAACTAATGGCTAGTAACTTCTTCCCAGAAGCATATACAAAAGGCAATTAGTTTTATGCTTTCTTTAAGTATCTTAATATGTAACTTAGGGAATCAATGTTCAAAAATTGTCATTTTATCTGCATAAGCACCATAGAAAATATAAACTGGCATTCAGATAAATATTTATTGATAAATACAAAATGTCAAGATTTCTCAGTTGCGTGAACACACACACAAACACACACAGAAAAGTCTTTCACATAAACATATACAAATTTCCCATTTATATTTGCTACTTAACAATGAAGTTGAATATGAATACAAAGACTGCAATTAACATTTTTATTAAAATTATTACTTTACCTTGGGGTTGACGACTTGGATGATAAATTTGAAGATCAAAAGGTTGTGCACTGGTTTTTTGTATCACGCTAACATTTTGGCCTGTCCATTTATTTGCTTTAGATAACGTGTTTGTCCTCCAGTCTGTCCAATATACTTCACTCCCAAACAGGGAGACAGCAAAAGGGTGAGAAAGATATTCATGACCTCGTATAATTTCAATCATGCCAGTCCCATCATACAGTGCTGAATAAATAGCATCTGACCTGAAAAACAGTTGAAACACTCTCTATTCAAATTGTGCTTAATACAGCTATGATCTATTTCTTGGAAAATTAAACAAATAAATGAAAAAAGTAACTTTATATTGTTCCCCAAACAATAGGGTTGCTTAACTATATCGTTCTCACAATATACTAGAAAGGTGATAAGCAAATGTTTATTACCACTCAATTAATTTATTTTTAACACCATAAACTTTTAGACTGAATGTACTCAGTGAATATCCCAGCTTTTAATAATCAGGTAGCAGATCAGGATATTTTACCATGAAGCAATGTGCTATTAAATACATTTGGTTGAAAAAACTCTAAATCCCCAAAGATAGCCTTTATGTTGCCTTTCTTGATTTAATGGCAGTCTTAGACTCAATTTATACAGAGGAACTATAATGGATATTACAATATCCATTGATTATCACTTTCTCAGATTGGCAATTATATTCATCAAAATATTACAGTGCAGATTACAGGCAATTGTAATGGTGATGTAACCATCTCCCTATCCTCAGAGGAATCAAATAAGGTGATATTATTGCTCTTTTATTGTTCAACTTCTATATAAGTGACGTTGTAGCTCTTTCTAAATTATAATTTCACCCTCCAGTACTTGCCCAACATGCTGTTTTAAGTGAGCCTTCAAAGATGCCTATCTCCATTAGTGTCCTACTGTTCTGGGGAAATTCTTGAAAATTACTCAAAACTCTAAGCTGTTTAATTGTCCTATAATCCTTCTATAAGCCTCCTATAAAGTGGAAATTGAACAAAAGACTAACTGATTAGATTAAGAATGTCAAATGCCTAGGCATCCACTCCCAATCCCCTATCCACTGGAATAATCAACTGTTTCTCACAGTCTTAAATTATCCTAGTCATCAAGGCAATAATCACATTCCTGCAGCAATAAAATTATATAAAGCAAAGGTTTTGGGTTATTGGTATTTAGTGCACAACTTTGTGTTTATAAGGATGCCCCTATTTTAGAAGCTGTTCAGTCTAACTTTCTGAAAGCCATACTTCATGTCCCTTGCTTCGTTGCAAATGTCCTTGTTCGGTTGGAACTTGGTTGCATTTGCCTTGGGGACCACCTGTCAGATTTTGGTTGAAACAAACCTTTTGAGGTAAGCCTCTGGTTCACCTTATCCTACTGGATAGGTTTCTTTCTTCCCTGAGGAGACAAATTGATTCTGATCTGGCATATTATGTTCTCTCATTTCTGGCAATATTGTCAGTTGCCCAGATAAAACTTTAATCAAACATAGGATTTGGGATTTAGACCTACAAAATGAGAGGGCTAAAATCATTGACCCTGATCTTATTATGGTACAATTGCAGACTCTTCATGGACATTTTCTAGCCACCTTTATAACATCTTCCATATTCCACCCAGGAGATTCTTTTTCCTTGGCCTGAATTGCCACACTACCTATTATGGCACTATAATGCAATATTCTCCAATAGAATAATTGCATATAAGCAGTGGTGGGATTCAGCCAGTTCGCACCACTTCGGCAGAACTGGTAGCTAATTGTTTGTTGCCCAGGCCCAGAATGGATTTCTGGAAGCGGCATCCACACAGAACCGGTTGTTCACATATTTGAATCCCACCACTGCATATAAGCCAGTAATCCATGAATTGTTACATTGCCAATTGTACTATCAATGATGTCTGGCACACATAAATATAATTGTCAAAAATTTTAGTTAACTTTCTGATCAACTAAGTACAATCTTTTTGCTGTAAGATAAATGTGGACAACGACTGTAAACGCTGCTATATTTCCAGCAACAGCTATGACTAGCAGATGATATTTCTTCTCGTTATTATTTGCTTCAGGTTCATTCTTTTTTCTTTTTAAATTAAATTTTGTAATGGTGTTCAGTTTTGCTCTGTATTTATACTCTGAAACTATAAAATGATTTGAACTTGAATTTGACTTAATATCTAAAGCCTAACCAAGCTTTTTATAACTTAAACATTTCCTATCATTATATTAAAAAAATTCTACTCAGAATCAGTTGATTTTTCTTGCTTTTAACATTTAAATCCCATTTAACTGAATTGTCAGCCATAATATTTTTGAATGGTATGGTTTTGATATTTTAAATAAATAAAAACAGAAAATATAACCAAATCTAGAACCATTGTTTGTGCATTTCAATTGTTCCTTAATATCCAACTTTTTTCACCACCTTCCATGGCAATCAACAGCTCTTGTTCCTTTTTAAAAATCAATATTGTCCTTCTCATTTTTTATGGAAATAAAACTTTGGATCAATCTTTTACAGAATTTCAAATATGATTGTTCTGGTCATTTTATGTGGTTACATTTTTCTAATACTTTCCTATATCATTTTTCAGATTTATTTAAATTCTATGCAAACTATGCATGCATATTCATGTATACTTCCCTAAATATAAGCATTTTGGTTGTTCAAAGATCTGCAATACAATTGTTTAAGAAGCTTATATAAGTTCCTAACTTACATGTTGTTATAGCAATTACAATTTTAGACCTTAAAATAGGAATCAAACAATATTTTCTACCCTTTGTAATATATTCCAAAAATACATTATGAGACATATTCATATATTTTACCTAGCATCTGTCCAAACTATTCGTTTTTCAAAATGATCAACTGTAAGACCATTAGGCCATGCCCCACTATCCATGTCTTTATATATGATCTTTCTTCCTGCTCCACTCATGGAAGCAGATTCAATGCGAGGAAAATTAGCATCCCAGTCTGTCCAAAACAGAATTCTGAATGATACAAAAAACAAAAAAAACCTTATTAATGGGAGCAAATAAAATAATCAATATTTTAGAAAAAAAATAATCATTATTAGCCACCAATCACTATTAGCCCAAATTTTTTTTCTCAAGATAGTCACACTATATAAATATTTTGAAGTGAGTGAGTGAGTGAGTGAATGATAGGATCTATATCTCACATATATGTTTTCTATCATTGGAAAAATGGCAATTTTGCTAACAAATTTATTTCCATATTTTCTACTACAGTGAAACTATACTGATTGCAAATGTAACTTTACATCGCTAATTTAGTTTAAAAATAATTTTTAAAAGTTAAAAAATATTTTTAAGTTGCAAGAATGAAGTTAATATGAATGTAATACAATTTGAAGTAAAACAGCGCTATTATGGAGAGACTAATTGATTTTAGATTTAGATTTAGAGATTTCCTTATTTTCTATGTATGGTATAAATTGGTCTATTCCAACAATTCTTAAATATTTTGAGTGATTTTCTACAATTAGAATTTATTTTAATTGATTTATGAAATTATCAGAGCATTTTTGAAGATTATTCCTCTGCTGAAACACAAGATAATAGCCTCTTAGTGAGGAAATTTAGTTAAGCACCATAAACTAAATAATATAGGAGGAAAAAAATCTTCAATCTGAATCTAAATACACGTTAACGTTCCTGTTAGATCTGCTCTGTAGAAAGGAAGAAATCCTTTTTCTCTGCCTCTATTACATTACCCCAAAGTCATCCAGTAGAGTTATTTCAGGTGACTTACTGGCTATTACATCTTCTTCTGTAGTGTAGTTAAAAGGAACTATCTGAAGATTGTTGATAACATCAGTTGCATGTACTTCTGCTTGAAGTCTAGGTTAAAAAGTAATTTTAGCGAATGCTTACTTAAGCCATGTCCCTAGTGCCAATCGATGACTTTCAGTTTGTTTTGCCTTGTAGAAGTAAGGCTAGTCACTTGCATTTTATACTCACTCATTCCTGGCTCAGAAAACCTGTTAGAGAAATGCTGATAGATTGGCTGCTGAAAAATATAAATTCCTCCAAGAAAAATACCCATGATCTGTATTTTCCAAAGGATGTTCTGTTAAGATTTTAATTGGTATTTAAAAATACTATCTTTAGTAATAATTAGCTATTCCACGATTTTAATTGCCCCCCCAACAGAAATACAAGGATTGTCTATACACTTTTCCATCTCGTTTATTTAATTTTTCTGAGTGAAATAGCCATTGTTGTTTATTTCTGCCATGTAGAATGTATTTCATAATGGTATTTCTACTATACACAATAACTAGTCCAGTGCAAAATTTAGAGAGGCTCCCAAATATTCCAGTAGCTTGTACTTCTCTAAAATTTGTTCCAAAGCTTTGTATTGCTATGCTCTCATGTATCCAGTTTAACGAATTCAGGGGAAAAATGCAATGCTGAAGCACCTGACCCCTATTGGAGGGAGCTATTAGAATTCAATAGAATAGAATAACAGAGTTGGAAGGGACCTTGGAGGGCTTCTATTCAACCCCCTGCTCAGGCAGAAAACCCTATCACATTTCAGACAAATGGCTGTCCAGTCTCTTCTTAAAAACCTCCAGTGTTGGACATTCACAACTTCTAGAGTCAGGTTGTTCCACTGGTTAATTGTTCTAATTGTCAGGAAATTTCTTCTTAGTTCTAGGTTGCTTCTCTCCTTGATTAGTTTCCATCTATTGCTTCCTGGCCTTCCCTCAGGTGCTTGACTGGCCTTCCCTCAGGTGCTTGCAGAATAGCTTGACTCCCTCTTCTTTGTGGCAGCCCTGAGATATTGGAACATTGTTATTATGTCACCCCTAGTCCTTCTTTTCATTAAACTAGACCAGTGATGGCAAACTTTTTAGAGACTGAGTGCCCAAAAACCCGCCCCCGCCCCCGTCCCTGCTCTATCCTGCCCACTGGGCCATCCACCACCTCCACAGCCCACCACAGATCACCCAGGCAGCCAAGTAGCGCCATGGCGGCTATGCCCTCCGCCCATGCATCGCAGCAGCATCTGTGCGTGACGGGGTGCAAGGGCAGAGTCTTGTCCCCGCTGCCCGGCTACTATGTCCTTGGCTGTGCTGCTTCGTGTGGGTCACGCCCAGGGGCGACTCTCCTTCGGAGGTGCTGCTGGTGAGGAAGGGGACGTGGGAGGAGGCGGGGCTGGGGAGACGGTGCATGTGCCCACAGAGAGGGCTCCGAGTGCCGCCTCTGGCACCCGTGCCATAGGTTCGCCACCACTGAACTAGACATACCCAATTCCAGCAATCGTTCTTTATATGTTTTAGTCTCCATCTTGTTTACCACATACCCAAATACCTAGGATTAGCTCTTATTGCATTCTGTTTATCTGTTTTGAAAGGGGAAATACTACTTGTTGACTTCATAGGTACTACTTCAAAGATGTTTCAGCACACAACTTCAGATGTTTTAACACACAGCTAATTCAATTCAGCATAGCTCCCTGCTGATGGCAATTTAAAATTCAGTTTGAATTTTATTTTGATTCTTGAACATTCTTGCAATAGGTCTGATTATACACAAGGGCCCAGGAGAGGGGAACAAGGTGAAAATGAGAAGGTTTTTGCTTTTCTTCAGCAGTAGTATGTAAAAGTTAAAACTGCTTTACACCTAGTGATGAAATGAATAAAAATGTTAACAATTTCTCTATGTGTTTATGTATGTGAGGAAATATTGATTGTGCCAGAATCATCTCAACACATCTCTGACATTGATAACCATCATCATCCTACTTCTGGTACATTTATTTCAAAAATATCACCCCTACTCCCTCTTTTATTTCTGATGCTACTGTAACCTACAACCATAATTACAGCTTTCACACAAGTCTCCAGTTACATAATCTTCATAACTCTCCATCAAATTTTCAATACAGATGGACTGACAACTTGGCAGCTCAATAGCTTTAGCGATGACAGACTAATATTTAAAACATGCCTAGACAAAAGCATTTAATATGCAGTGAAAATGTGGATGGGCTGCTAACAGCTTATTTCTTTTTTGCATGGACAGTGGGTATGTATGAAAAATTATTTATTCTTCTAGCGACTTGGGACAAAACAATGATTAAATTATTTTTCTTGCATTCTTTGAAGAATAGCACTGATTGGCTTGCAGTATTTTCACCCTGTTGTATATTGTGAATTCTGCAGGAGTGAAGGTGATTGCGTGAATGGTTCAATATGGTTTAGAGGGCCTGGGGAATAGAAATAGTCCCAAGTACTCTGAACATTTTGAGGTATGTCTTCAGGGATCACTATTCAGCATTCTAGTCTTTGCCATTCATTAGGCTCTGAACATCTACTGTACATATGCTCTTTACCATTTAGGCCAGGGATGTCAAACTCGCAATGTCACGTGATGTGTTGCGATGTATCATGACTTTTTTGCCATCGACGGCAATGGGGTGTGCGCGGTTTTGTTATGATACATCCGGCCACAGACTGGCAGTTTGACACCCCTGATTTAGGCAAAGCTGCTATGAGGTATTATTCCATTTAGCTGCTGGTTCTCATTATACCTCAATAATACTCAGCTACATGTATCTTTTTCAGCTGATGCCAGAATCAGTGTAATATTTTAACTGTTCCCTATAGCAGAGGTCCCCAATCTTTTGGGCACCAGGGACTGGTTCCACGGAGAGAGGTTTTTCCACGGACCAGAGGGTGTGTGGTTTTGTGTGCTGTCTGCATCTTGCTTGTTTGTGCAGACCGGTTGCTGGCATGCTGTCGCCTCGTACTGGTTCACGGACCGGGGGTTTGAGACCCCTGCCCTATAGTAAAAAAAACCTCAGTGTGAATTAGAACAGGCTTAATCCAGAAAAGGTAGGTATTTCAAAGGAAAATGCAAAAATGTTCAATAGGCAAAAAAGTTTCACAAGATTAAATGATGAAAATATATATGTTGGCTTGCTAGTCCCAGGTAGAGAGGCTTTTTTGTTGAGGCACCTATGAATATCATTTCTCCAGAGATCAGATTGATCCCATGCCCATCCAAGTAATCAGTGTTTTAATCTTTAGTTTTACTCAGGTTTTTTTAGTTTTTTTAGTTTTACTCAGTGTTTTAGTCTTTAGTTTTCAAATGTAAATGTACCTTTGAACTGTATAGTAAAAATGTAATTTATCACAACATAAAGTATTATGAATTTATTAAGGTTGGGAACTACAAAAAAGAAAAAAAAACTACAGTTTGGAAAATGTACAGCCCCAGATTTAAAGTCATTAAAATGTATGTTTGATTACTATTAATAAATAATAACAATAAGTAATAAGTAATAAAAAGACTGACCACAGATATTTTGTATGGTCAAGGTTTAAATATATTGTTAAAAATTGCATGATTTTCTTTAAAATAAGTTTTGGTTGTTTCCCCTTTTTGCTGCTTTTTCTTTTTCTTTCTTTCTTTTAATTAAAGCAATGCAATATTAAGAAATAATTCTGCATGCTTTTTTAAAAAAATGGTAAAATACCATAAAGAATAATTACCCATATCTGGGATCCAAAGCAATAGCTCTAGGATGTTCCATTGCACCTGCGATTAGGGTTGTCCTCAGTGTACCATCTAATTTAGCTACTTCAATTTGATCCAGATTGCTGTCTATCCAATATATATTTTCAGCAATCCAGTCCACAGTAAGACCTTCTGGAGTAGCTAAACCATGTTGGACCACAACTTCAACGGAGCTTACACCTGTGAAAATATTAGAACAAATCTTGAATTTTAGAAATTTATACAAAAAACAAAAATGATGTACTTCTTAAAAAACAAAGCAAGCACTCCCTGGTCATTTGTGGTTCCGTTTTCCATAGATTTACATATTTGCAATTGCCAAAAATATAGCAGATTTTGGTATACTGATAGAAGATAATATTTGTAGCTCAGGGTTGAACTGTGGAATCCATGGTGCTCTCTGAGCTTGTTTTCTTGCAGACTTTTCATTACCAAACTAGGTAACATTATCAGAAGTTGAAGGCTTTCAGATAGTTCTTTATTTTTGTTTGCTTTTTTACACATGCACAAAATGGCATACAGGCTTTTGGACACATATATAGTAGGTTTGTTTTTTTAGGGTTTCTTTATATAAAGTTTCATTATCTATGGTCAAGAGGTGAAGATATAACCCTTCTGAATAACATAAATATTTTAATATAAATATATTATAAAGTTTTGTTTCAATTATAATACTAAACACTTTAATAATTATAACAAAGGTGATAAACATAATAATTTCAAAACTATGATCATAGTAATTTAAAACTATAAGGTAGCTCTCATATACATTTTGAAATGAATTTGAATTCGGAGATGTCTACTGTGAAACATGGTCATCATCATTAATATTTAAATTGTTAATACTATATTATTCATTAAAAGTATTTCTATCTAATTTTTAAGCCAGAAGTCTCTAAAGGCAACTAGATTCAGTAGAATTTGCTATTTTATATTTTTACATAACATATATTTTTGGAATGCTTCATAAAAGGATAGCACTATGCTAAATGAGTTGTTTCTAATCCCTCAGAGCTGAGATAATTAGTCACAATTCTGCAAACTATGCATGCAGAACATGGTATGAAAATTGTTCCACTATCATTTTCCTCTTCTGCTGACTGAGGTTATACATAATTCACTGATATTTTAAACACTACAGGTAATCTTCACTTACTGACATTAATGGGACTGGCAAATCCATTGCTAAGTGGCATGGTTGAAAAGTGAAACATCATATGATTCAACCTGACTTACGTCAATTCCAGCTGCAGTTGTTAAGTATGAGATCATGTGGCTGCCATTTCTTGCCACTGATTTTGCTTGTCAGAAGTTGGCTGTGAAGGTCACAAATGGGATGTTGCAACTGTCATAAATGTATGCTGGTTACCAAGCACCTGAATTATGATAATATGGTCATGGGGACATGTGACAGCTGCAAGTTTGAGGATCAGTCATAAATCTTCTATTTCAGTGCCAACATAACTTTCAAAGGTCGCAGAATGAGCAGTCAGTAAGCAAGAAGTATCTGTATTTGATGACTCAACAAGGCCATCTACTTGCAGAGAAGTCCTCCAACATCTTACCTTTAAGAATTGGCAGACTGCTTTTCTCTAAGGTTATGGTTTGCAAGTTATTCCTAGTAAAGCAGGAGTGGAGATAGTATAGGGCAGGCATGTCAAACTGCTGGCCTGCAGGCCGGATGCATCACTCCGAAACCGCGCTCACCCCATTGCCGGCAATGGGGGAAAAGTTGTCATACGTTGCACGACATCATGTGACATCGCAAGTTTGACATGCCTGGTATAGGGGCTTGATAGGGGAGGTTATACGAGAACTTTAGGGGAAACATTTCATAGCACTTTATCTATGCAAGCAGGGTGCAGGATTTGGCCTTTGTATATAAAAAAGAAGATTAAATTTCAAAATAATTTTTACAAATTATTTTATAAGTGCACCAAAAATTCAAGAAAAAGAAGAAATACTTGCTCCAAAACTGCTACATGTTCATTTAATTTCTGCAATTTCCATGTTAGTATAACAATTTATTAAAGACTAACAAAAAATTCTGAGGGCATTTTCAGAAATAAACTGCACTGAATTCTACAGATGTATTGTGAATAT